AAAAAAAAAAAAAAAAAAAAAAAAAAAAAAAAAAAAAAAAAAAGATGTATACTGAAGGAGACCATAGGTGATCAAATCAAGAGATTAAAAAAAAAAATTCTCCAAAAGGGCAAGGGTTTCTCTATGACTTTCATTCTTTTTTTAAATAATTTTATTGAGAAACGAATAGCAGTGAGACAGTTTCAAACCTGATTAAAAGGACAGTTATAACTTTCATTCTTAATGTAAATTTTGATGTTAAAATAAGCCAACATCTTTGTTTTTATCAAAGAGGATATCAATATTATTCCCTTTTTTGTTTTGTTTTGTTTTGTTGTTTTGTTTGCTTTTTTATGTATTTAGTACAGGGTCTACAGGGTCTCACTACACAGATCACAGAGCAGACCCTTGTGATTCTTCCTGTTTTTCAGCCTCCCAAGCAGTAGGATTATAGGCAATTGCCACCAGGCCCAGTCTCAATCACCTTCGCACCATGCCACAGGGGCAGGCCCACAACGGCAGGCCAGAGATTGAACCTTGTTAGTGCATCTGTCTAAGCAGGCTCTTTGCTTCCCTGAGCTACCTGTCTGGCGCTTGTTCTTCCCAATTCAAATTTTCAATTAAAAAAAACAAATTTTCCCATGCATGCATTCTGTAAATATGTATAAGTGAATGGTATTGCACAGTATACTTGATATTTTTTTAATTGTTGTATGTACTTATAAAATCATTTTTAGTATTAATAAACTCATTTTAGATAGATTCTATGGGGAAAAGAATGGAAAATTGGGCTTGGAAAAGTAAACATTTGCATATGCTTTCTATTTGGATATCCTTGGTGGCAATCTTTTCTATTCAAACTGACATTTTAGGAAAATTTTGACGTTTTTATCTTCCAGTTGCTTTGGTTTCCTCTAATTCGTTTCATAGCTCGATGAAAGTTCCACTACGAAATGGATTAAAGAGATTAGGACTTCCAATATTCATCTCTCCTATCTTCATATTGACACCCACTTCATTAGAAGGTGTTGTTTCTCTTTCAGCTGCACCCCTTTCTGAAGAAAATGCAGTTCAATAATCCTACTGGAGAACTAGTGAATTTAGACAAGAAAAGTAATACAGAAGCAAAGTATGACATTCTCAATGTTTGGAATTTTCCAGAAGGTCTTAGACGTAAGGTGAAAGTTGGAGAGTTTTCCCCTCATGCTCCATATGGACAATTATCTTTGTCTGAATACATGATAGAGTGGGCCACATGAATTATAGAGGTACATTAATGCTCAACAATGTCTTGTATGTAACCTCAATAATCCAAATGTTCTTTTGTATTTTGTACCCCACATTTCCCTGAAAAATGAACACACATGGAGATTTGAGTTCAATCTCCAATGTAAGGAATTTTCTTCTTTACTCTCTGATTAATAAGAAATAAACATATTTGCATAACTACATTTTTACAATCATTGACATCTTTCATGTCATTTAATAAATGTAGCACAGAATCAATATTTGGATATATATGCTCAAAAAAATAAAGTTCATCACTCTAGGTATGGAAGTTCAGTAAAAGTCAAAGAAGTTATCCACACCTATCTGACTTTCCTCAGACTCCCCCTTCTGTATGCAGTGAGAGCTGTAATCCTGGATTCAGGAAATCTCCCCAGGAAGGAAAAGCTGCCTGTTGCTTTGATTGCACCCCTTGCTCAGAGAATGAGGTCACCAATGACACAGGTATGAGCACACCTCATGAATAAACTGTCTCTATCTCATATTTTGTTCCCATCCATACACAAAATCATTGGAAGAAAATATAATGCAAATTATTGGTAATCAACTTACTGTAATTTTTGAACTCAGTATGTTGACTGGGAAAAGAATACTAGTCCCTTAAACTACACTTTGTCATTCTTAGTTTTATGTTTTCTACCTTCTTTGCTCTGCATTATATAAAGGGAAGGCTTATCACTCAGCTGCATCTACAGCATTTTCAGCACCGAATTTTATTTCACAATTATTTAAAAATTCATAAATATTTAATATACTAAGTACTCTTGTCACAAATATTTGTTAGATGTGTGTGTGCGTGCGTGTGTGTGTGTGTGTGTGTGTGTGTGTGGTGTCATACTACAGAGCTCACTGGTAGTGATCCTCCTCATTTCTACTTCACTAGTTTCTTTTTTATTGAGAAACAAATATCAATGAGACAGTTTCAAAACTGATTACTAGGACACTTTTAAATAATTAATACATTGTACATTCTAATCTTCTTAGTGGTTATCCATACTACAAGATGCAGACAGGATATCCTGTCCAAACACTATTAGTACAAATATTTCTTCTCATTGAATTAAGTGAAAGTAGCTGTATAAATATCCTAACTATTCTGCATATATAGATACAGAATGGTCTTTCCCTTTTATCACTTTTTTTGTTTAGTCCTGTCAAAAGTGGGCATTCCATTAGCATCTAAATACCATAAGTGCATGAATTCAGCAAAACAATCCAACACAGTCTGGCAGTCTAGAATAGTAGTGAGTTATCCACAGAACTTGTTGACTTGAGCCTTTCACAGCTCAGCATATTATTATGGCTTTACTTTATTTACCTCATTTTTATACATTTCTGCTGGATTGTTAAGATCAAGATAAAGCAAAACCTATATAACAAGAAATTTATCTTCCTTATCTGATCTGATTTATCCTGTTACCCTGTACCACATTTTGCAGGTCCTTTGTCAGTGTCAGCCATGTGGATGAGTCATGGCCATTGCTTGACCAATTCTCTCTCTGTGAAATCCTGAGAGAATGTTTTTTCTCCAGGTGTCTCTCCTTAGACACACTACATCATCAATCACGTTGCTCTGTGGCCCCATTACCTCCTTGATGAGAAAATTTGGGACACAACTGAGTTACATGATGTTACAGTATAGGTTCTCCTATGTCCTGAGTCTTCACTGACCTTGAAAGGCTAGGGTCAAAATGATGGCTGTCTTGCAGCCCTTCTATTTCTCTAATTTTTCATCTTCAAACTTAGGTTGTTACCCTCCAAAAGAGAAGCTTATTATCACCTTACAACATACGCAATTGGGTTTAACTTCACTATTTTTCTGAATATCAAACATCTTAGGCACAACATGGAACAGGTATTTTCCATCAAGTATTGATATGTTAAACATTAAGTCCCCACAGAATATGGAGATAAAAATTTTAAAAAGGAAAAACATTTAAATAATATGAATAAACAGGGCCAGGGAGATGGCTCAGTGGAATAAGCGCTTCCCTGGCAAGTGTGAGGGCCTGAGTTCAATCCCTGGTTCCGAGAAAAAAAAAAGATAATATGAATAAACAATTACATATTTTTACAAATTTAGAAATCTAACAGCATTGTAGTAGGACAGTCCTGTAACACTATTTTTCTTTTTCTAGTGTCCTTTTTTCATTTATTACCCATTTTTTTAAAAATTATTTGTGAGACCGTATCGTAATAATTGGCATGTCATGACAAGAAGTATGCATTTAAAAGACCAGAATGACAGGCACTCCAAGCATGACCCTTCTATTACACCCTGCTAACTTCAGTGCAGTTGCTTGGTTCACTGGTATCAGCATGAATAATTAGTAAAGATGAGAATTACTAATTAACTGCTAGTTTGAAAAACATGCTGATCTTTTTGAGGATCATTGTGTTGCCTATCATGTCTCTATAAAAGTATGGCCCTGTCCCTGTCCTGTTTCTCAGCTTTTCTCCTTGCCCTCTCCTCATTGTCCAATCCTCAAGTTCTCACTTTCCTTTTAATTGTGTTATACCTTTCTATCTGTGATTCTTCTTTTGAATTCTTATACTAGGGAGACTATATGATATTTACACATGTGGGTCTGGTTTATTGCACTTATGAGTATATCTTCAAGTAGCATCCACATAAGTATAAATCACTCAAGTTTATCATTCTTCATAGCTGAGTAATACTCCATTATATTAAAAATACCGCATCTTTTCAACCATTCTGCATGTGATGGGCATCTTGGTTGTTTTCAAGATTTGGCTATCACAAATTGTGCTGCTATAAACATACTTACACATATAACACTATGATATGACATTTTCAGTTCCTCCAGGAAAATTCACAGGAGGGGGATAGCAGGCTTGAATGGGATTTCCAGTCCTAGTTTCTCAAGGAGTCTCCACATTGATTTCCATAATGATTGCACCAGTCTCCATGCCCACCAGCAGTGGAGAAGGGTTCCTTTTTCCAAACAGCCTATCCAACATTCGTTATTGGTTGATTTCTTGATGATAGCCATTCTTTGTGGGGTGAGATGGTACTACAGTGTTGTTTTAATTTGCATTTCACAGATGGCTAATGATATGGAGCATTTTTTTCAAATATTTATTTGCTTCTTTAATTTCATCCTCTGAGAGGTGTATGTTCATCTCGGATGCTCATTTCTGGATTGGGTCTTTAAATTTAGGGGCCCTAATGTTTTTTAGTTCTTTATAAATTCTAGAGAGCAGAGCTTTGTCTGAGTGCTTACTAGTTCAGTTTTTTTGAAATTTGTTTGTTGTCTTTTCACTTTCTTGGTAATTTCTTTTGACGTGCAAAAACTTCTCAATAAGAGTTGGTCCCAGCTGTTAATATTTGCAAGTGTTACCTGGGTGATTTGATTTCTGTTCATGAACTCTTTGCCTACCCCTATGTCTTCAAGAGTTCCTCCTACTTTCTCCTCCAGGAGATTTACTGTTTAGTTTTAATGTTTAGATCTTTAATCTATTTTGGCTCTATCTTAGTGCAGGGAATATCTTTCCATTTTCTGAAATCCTCTACGATCTCTTTTTTAAGAGTACTGTAATTTTCCATGAAAAGATCTTTGACTTCTTTAGTTAAATGAATTCCAAGGTATTTCATTTTCCTCAGTGGTATTGTTAATTTATTGTTTCTGTAATTTCCTTCTCAGTGTATTTGTTATCCATGTAAAGGAATGCCATTGACTTTTGGGTATTGACTTTGTATCCTGCTATGCTGCTGAATTTGTGTATCAATTCTAGTACCTTCTTCGTGGAGTTTTTTGGGTCTTCCAAGTAAAGTATCATGTCATCTACAAATAATGATAATTTAACTTCTTTACCTATTCTTATACCTTTTATTTCTCCCTTTTTCTAATGGCTCTAGCTAATGATTCCAAAACTATATGGAATAGGAGGGGTAATAGAGGACATCCTTGTCTTGTACCAGATCTGAGAGTAAAAGATTTTAGTTTTTCCCCATTTAGAATTATATTAGTTGTTGGGTTGTCATAGACAGTTTTTATTAAATTGAAGTAGAGGCCTTCTATTCTGATTTTCTGTAGGACTTTGAACATGAATGAGTGTTAGACTTTGTCAAAAGCCTTTTCTGCATCAATTGAGATGATCATGTGGTTTTTAGATTTTGCTCTATTGATATAGTGTATGACATTTTTAAATTTTTTAATATTGAGCCATCCTTGCATCCCTGGGATGAATCCTACCTGGTCGTGGTTTATGATCTTCTTGATGATTTGCAGTATTCTATTTGCTAGGATTTTATTGAGGTTTTTTGTACCTATGTTCATGAGGGAGATTGGCCTATAGCTCTCTTTCTTAGTTACATCATTCCCTGATTTTGGTATCAGCATAATACTTGCCTCCAGGAATGATTTTGGGAGAACTGTTTCCTTTTCAAGTTCATTAAAGAGATTTAGGGATTATATCTTCTATATAATCTTCTATAAATTTCTTGTAGCATTCAGCTATGAATCCATCAGGACCTGGACTTTTCTTTGTCAGTAGGCTTTTTATTACATTTCATATTTCATTGGCTGTAATTGGGTTATTGAGAATTGTTATATCGGGATGGGAAGACAGCTCAGTGAAATAAGCATTTCCTGGCAAGTGCAAGAGCCTAATTTCAAACCCTGGTTCTTCAAAAAAAAAAGAGAGAGTTGTTATATCTTCTTGATTCAGTTTTAGAAATTTGTACATTTTGAGGAATCTGTCCATTTCGTCTGTGTCTTCTATTCTGTGAGTGTAAAGATTTTCAAAGTAGCTATTGCTAATCTTCTGAATTTCCACTTAGTCTGTGGTGATTGCACATTTTTCATACCTTATTGCTTTTTTTCAAACAAAGAAATATTTATTCATTATTTTTTAACTTGTTCATCCTTTATATTCCTTTATTGTGTGTAGTATTATCTCCCAATTGGAGTATAAAGCTCAACAGCAAAGGTGAGCATGGGCATCCTTACAAAGCTATAGCCCTTTGGTGTGAAATCATCCAGGTTTCCATGAGTGGACAATGGCATCAGCCTTATCATTTTGAAGAACTGATCACGTAGGCCACAATGATCTTGAATTTAAGGTGATCCTTTTACCTCAGCCTCTCAAATGCTGATATTATAGGCAGATGCTAGAACCCCTAACTCCAAGATAATCTTTCTTATATGGATTAGATTGCTTATATTTCTTTTTTTTTAGATTGCTTATATTTCTAGATTGAGATTTTTTTCATTATGAGAGGGTTTTGGAGTTTCTTCAGTCCTTATTTACATATGTTCGTGATTATAAATGTTTTTTCTTATTCTGTGCATGTGATAGCTTAATCAATGATAAAATGTTGAATCACCTTTGTTTTAATGGAAATAATTTCAGTTGGTTTCTTTGTATAATGATTAATACATATTTGTCCCATTTAATAGTCTGAAACTATTTATACAACT